AGGGGGAAAAATCAAACTCAAAACTTGTTCTTTGTGAAAAAATAAAGTCAATAAACCTCTAGCCATACTGACCAAGGAGAAATAAGACACAAATCACCAATACCAGGATTAAAAGTGGGGTTTCCCATAACTTCTTGGACATTACAGGGTAAGAGGGAACACTAAGAACTAGCTCATGCCCACAGTTCAATAGCTCTGACCAAATGGTTCAATCCTGGAAAAACACAAGCTACCGAGATTTATTCAAGAAGACACAGTCATATATCTATTGAAGGAATTGAACTCACAGGCCCTGAAGGTTTCATTAGATGAATTTTACCTAATACTTAAGGAGCATGTAACACCAATTCCACAAAATCTCTCTCAGAATATAGAAGAGGGCCCACCGACCAACTTACATTAAGAGGCCAGCATTACCTTAATACTAAAACCAGACAAAGACACTATAAGAAAACTATAAACTATATTCTTCATGAACACAGCCACCAAAACCCTCAACACCGTAACAGTAAATCAAATCTAGTAATACATCCACAGGATAACATGGCAGGACAAAGTGGGTGTCATCCCAGGAATGCAGAGCTGGTCTGACAAACGAAACATCAATGTCATTCACTGTTGGGAACTGCTCTGCCTGGTTTCAGGAGTTATAACTGACACCTCCCCCCCCACCCCCCCTCCACGTGGCTAAGGCTGAGTGAGCAACCTCCAGACTATGAGCCACTAAGGAGACAAAGCTTGTCTCTGGCAGCAACACTGCTTCTTCATCCCCTGACCCCAATGCTTGGCTGGTTAGTCAGGGATAGATAAAAACCCCTCAGAGGAGGGGCAACCTAAGCCAGACAAGATCACTTGGGAGGCCCTCAAAGAAGGACACGGGGAGCTGCAGCAGAGGGAGTGATGGACCCTCACCCCCCTGGCTATTCTGACATAGCCCGAGTCCCCATTTCCACCTGGGAGAAAGGCTTCCTGGCTCTAATCCACTTAAGCCTAAAAACCTATGACTGGGAAGATAGTGCAGCCCTTTGCCGGCTAGAGGGGGTTCCGGGGTGATAGGGCATAAGAAAGAATTCCCAGTCCCGTGAAGCCTGCTTTGCTAAGAGTGCTTTCATTCATATGATAAGGGTCCAAGCAGGAAATGAGTATGTCTCCCAAAGGTTTTGCAACCCCCTTACCTGACAGACACCGACTCAGACTAAGGCCTCAGATTTCTTTGAAATGTTATCTACTGTTTGATCCTTGATGCCTGACATTAACTGATGAGCTTTACCTGTATTCCTGCATATTACAACCCAATAAAAGCCGTTGAAGAAGAGGTTCTTGGTCCTTCTCCTCTGAGAGACTGACCACCTCTGCTCCCCAAGCAGATCATGTCTTGGTAGTTTCACTTTCATCTGTGGCATACGGGGGTACTTGCAGGCAAAGTTGCCCCCACAATTCACCATCTTCACAGACAACTAAGGACAAGCCAGGATGGGCTCAGGAGAAACTGAGGCTACAGGAGCTGAAGGGACTGTCCCCAAGGTTAGGCAGAGGGGAGCCCTGCCGTCTGAACTCTAGTCCAAAAAATACTGAAAACAAAAACGATGTCCTTGAGAACATCACAAAATGAGTCATCCAATACAATGGGGTATATTTATTCCACCTAAAGTGATAACACCAAAAGATTTTTTTAAACAGCCCTGACTAGTATGGCTCAGTGGATTGAGTGCTGGCCTGCAAACCAAAGGGTCGCCAGTTTGATTCCCAGTTAGGGCACATGCCTGGGTTGTGGTCCAGGTCCCTAGTAGGGCACATGTGAGAGACAACCACACACTGACGTTTCCCTCCCTCCTTTTCCCTCTCTCTAAAGATAAATAAATAAAATTTAAAAAAAAATAAAAAGACTTTTAAAAACAATTTGTCCAGTAGACAAATATCTTGGCCCAAAAGGCGATCAAGATATCCCATATCTGCCTCCAACATTGTGCCTCCAATGTTTTATTTAACCCCCCACATTAAAAACGACCTTGAAGCTTCCTGAATACAGGGACATTGCCATCTTAAGACCACTATCAGGTGGAAGGCACTTTACAATTCATAAAGCTCCTCTGCATCCTCATCTCATTTGGATCCTCATCACAGCCCCCTTCCTAGCCCTATTCTATAGATGAAGAAACTGTAGTGTACCTCTTGACACCTACACTGACTGACACCACCCATCTGGTCACAAGACCAGGTGAGTCCACATGGAAGAGGATCCCAATGATACATGAGCATAAAAGGGATACACCTTGACTGTGTCCTGCCAGCCTGGGTTCTTCAAGCAGCCAGCATCTCTCAGCCCCTCTGGAGTCATCTTCTGAGTCCCAGAGGGGCTCCTGACTAGGCACAGCAAGTTGGCAGTCCCTGCTCCCACCCACCCATCAGTCAGCTTGCTTCATGATGCTGCCAAGCTGAGGAATAAGGGTCTGGAATTCCACGGTGGTGAGGGAAAAAAGAGCCTTGGTCAACGAGGCTAGAGCAGGTGCACTCAACACCCCAACAGGTGACTTTTTAAAGTTAAAAGCAAAACTGATTCTGTACCAAATGATACAAGTCCAGAAGATAACTGGTTAAGGACACTGCACTCAACAGTTGCACTGGTTGGTACAACATGGTAGCCACTCACTAAATGTGGTCACTGAGTACTCAGAGTGTCACATGACAAAATGGTATTTTTGATATAAATACAACGTGTTAAAAGTAACCTCACCAATTTCTTTTTACTTTTTAAAATGTGGCTACTAGGTACATTTAAGTTATAAATGTGACACACTGTATTGCTCTTCGATGGCTCTGAGCCGACACACTGAGATCCTGCAGCTCAGCTGCCCCCAGGGTGAAGAAGAACCTCAAAAACCACTCAGGCCAGCAGCTGACGTCCTTTAAAACCAAAGATTTTCACTGAGGGAGGAGAGCTACCACATAAAACAAATACATAATGCTGTGTGTTGTCGTTTTACTTTTTTGAAGGGAAATCCCTTGGCAACAGAAAGCTTAACTGTACCAACAAGGGCAGCAGTGGAAAAAAATGAAACACTAGTCAACTAAGGTCACAGTGGCCTGTCCCAGGTCTCTCCAGCCGCACAGGCCCATTGGGCTCCAGAGAAAAGGGCAAAGAAGCAAACATTGAGTTAATCTTCTTCCTGTGGGTGATCCTCACCGTCCTCTTCTAAATCTGGAACACAGGCCTTGCTCAGACACCGGGAGGCAGGGCCCTAATGCCCCACGGGGCCCGCCGGGGGACCCCTGGCTCCTGCATCTTCCCTGGTGGCTGGAAGGCATTCCCACCTCAGGTTAATGGTGAGTTCCTCTTCCACATGGAGTCACTAGTCCACGAAGTGCCCACCTGAGCCAGGCAATGCCACAGGTCCCTCTTTCGCATTCCAAGTGCCCTTTGTATCTGAGATTTGCTGTGATGGAAACATGAATCACAGACCCACCACCAACCATGCACATCCAGAGGTTCTCTAATGGCCATTTACAATTTAAGGTGCTAAGAATGTCATCAATACAATCATCCCCCAAGGTCGGCTCCCTGCAGGTGGTGATGATCCAACTTGATCCCCGTGCTCATTCCATGGGAAGGTTCGTTCACTTTGTGAGATGTCTAAGCTGTACCCATGTGATCTTTCACTCCATCTGATTGCATATTATTCCTAAGGAAGAGTTTACTATAGAATAATGATGATGATGATGATGATAGACATCTTTCTCTCTTCTGCTTCCCACCCATCCACTTCCACCAGTCCTGACTCCCTCCAGCCCTGAGCTTGCCTTCTCTTCATGCCAGGAGCAGTACTTCCTCCCCTGAGCCCCTACCCTGCTGACCCGCACCCGGAGCCCCTGGTCCCACTGGCTGGTTCATCATGCAGGTCTCAGACCATCCCTCACAGACAGGAAACCACTATCAGGGGATTTTAATCCCACCTCCCACCAGCTACTCCCTAAAACATGGACCAGTTTTATGTCCTTCAGAAAATGTCCTGCTTCCGGGCTGACTGTCTCCCTCACTAACATGAAGCTCAATGACAGCTGGCCCCAACTGTCCCCCAACTAGATTCTCAGTAAGGATCACCTGTATAAATGAATGAGGAGAGGGAATGAATGTTAGATTCATTGAGAGAGGGAACCTAGTTAGATTAAAGGCTGCTTCGGACAGATACATCTTAGGGGTCCATGGAGAGTGGCTGATTAATGAAAAAGGTAAATGCAAAATCTAAGAGAAAATGCAGGAAGGAGGAAACCATTGGAATCGGGAGCCAGAGGACAGACGCCATGAAAAGGCAAACTGCGGCCTACGACTTGCAAAGAAATGCGCTCCGCTCGGCGCCACGACGCCTCCCTTTTGGCCAGATGCTTCCCCGACCCGCCCGCCAAGGAAACAGGCCATATTCCGCAGCACAGAGCAAGCCCCCTGCCCTGTGGGTTAAATACCAGCGGGAACCCTTCCAGGTCCCACATCAGCATGCTTCCACCATCCACACTCCCAAACAGGCATGCCTGCTTCACATTCACGCACACGCATTCACACACGTGCAGGTTAAATACCAGCGGGAACCCTTCCAGGTCCAACATCAGCATGCTTCCACCATCCACACTCCCAAACACGCATGCCTGCTTCACATTCCCACACGTTGCAGGGGTGTGCTGGTCATCACATTCACACGCAGACTCCCGGATCTGCTCTCAGAGCAGCTCCAGCCACACACTCTCAGAGACTCACAATCTCAGGGACTCGCATCGCAACCCTTGACTATGAGACCTCACACACACACAGTCCCTGAGGCTCACAAGCAGGCACACGCGCACTCGCTAGCCCTCGCCAGTCAAGCAGCAGCACTTCGCCCCGCCCCAGTTTCCCTAGTGAAGATGGACCCACCCTCCAGGCGTTGGGGGCGGTGCCCGCAGGCCTGCGTGGTACGCGGACGCTCTGGAACCCTCTCCGTGTACTCCTGGAGGCTTAATGAGCTCAGTACCTTCCTAAAGTCAATATTGTCGAGTCCTCCGCAGCAGTCGGGCCCTGCCAGGGAGCTGCTCATTGGCTCTGCTCCCAGGCCCACAGATTCTCTCAACCAGGGGCCTGGCCAGACCACGTAGGGGCCTCGCGGCAGACACTGGCCTCTAGGACCGGCCTCATTGCGCCCGGGAAGCGCAGCCAGCCGGGACCCTTTCCCTGTGACCCCACCTTCTCCCCGCCTTCTGGGAAATGTAGTTCTTCATCCTCACGACACGCCACTTTCCTGGAGCTCGCGGGCCGGCCTCTCCAGGAACCGAGAACTACAACTCCCAGAGTCGTATGCTGCAGCTACTGCGGGTTCCGAGGAGGGCTCGCGTCACTGTCCTCTGGGGTTCGGTGTCCTCAGTTTTCTCTTTGGTCCCCGGCTCCTAGGGCACCCGGTTTGCCAACCGACCTGGCGTCCATGTCTTTGGCTGGCGGCAGCAGGGCCAGCGGCTGCAGGTCGTAGGTACGAACAGCTTCCGGCGTAGCCTCCTGCGGCCTTGGCCCAGGCTCCAGTCCCCCACCTGGTCTGAGGTTCACGTTTTCCCGGCTACTCCTGGGGATTCGGGGCGCTGCGTCCGCGGCGTCCACGGTCTTTGCCCCAGCCAGAAACACCTCTGGCACTCTCATTCAGTCATCAGGTATTTGCTGACTCAAAGCAGTAGCCAGCAACAGAAGATCCAGGCCCTCTCTGTCTCCTAACGGAAGTAATGAGACAAAACACGAACAAAGGTTTATAATTTGTATAAGTACTAGAGTGGAAAATACTGGGGGCTAGGTTAGATGAAACTAAGGGAGAGGTGCCACACAAAAAGGTGTGGGGGCAGTGCAGACTTGGGAGAGGGACTGCTGGTGCGAAGACCAGGATACAGGGCAGAATTAAGGGCACTTCCGAAATCCAGGAAAGGCTAGTGAGCTGTGGAGGAGGGGCAGCGAGAGGGAAGGATTTAGGGGAAGTAGGCGGAAGTTTAGTTGGTTGGGTGCCAGGAGAGTCCCTTTTGCAGCCAGGTGTTAAATACGTATATAGGGGAATAGGCTTAAGAGATTCCCATATTTTGCCAAGTCGTCCGGGCAGCTGGAATCCAGACTTAATGGGAGGTCTGCTGCTTCCTGATTCAGGCTGCTCACTGCACTCCACTTTGGCGCTGGGCATCTGCCAGTCTTCCAGCATATACTGAGCAATCCCCTAGATGCTCCTTTGTGCTGCCTGCTGTTACAGACAGGCCCAACCTTTACAATAGCCTTAGGATGGGATGTGCCCATCAAAGAGACAGGAAGGACCCTTGCTTTGGAGCATGCACTGTTGACTTTCAGGGTTTTTTTAAGCAAAAGGACAATACATAGTGGTAAAACTCAACATACAGGACTGAATTCACCACACAGTGCTGTGAGAACTGCTTAAATAACCGCTTGGTGTGACAGGGCTGGGTACACAATAGGTGCTCAAGAGCTGGTTTGCCTATGTAGCACTGTTATAAGTGTTAGAAGATGCCCTCTGGGCCTGCTGGAACCAGAGCCAATTCTGAGGAGCCCACCAAGGGGGAGGGCTCTTACAGAGAATTCCCCAGATGTATTTCACAGAAGCCCCAGTTTTCTCCTCACCTACCTGGCTGCCTCTCTTGTTTTATTGAGCCAGGAAAATGAGTTTTTGTGTGTTTAGTTTATTTGAGAACAAAGAAGGTAAATATCAGAGGTCACACCAAAGCTGATGCAACTAGAGGAATCTACTCCTCCACCCCAACCTGCATCCTGCCACTCCATGAAAAGAGAACACCCAAACATGCAGAAGCCAGACTACAGCTTCAAGTGTGATTAGGATTGTTAAAATCAAAAGCCTCCTGCTGAAGATATTTTGGGGCAGAATTCCTTGCCTGGCCTTTTGAAAACTCTCTGGTCTGAGCGCATGCAGGGAAATAATTACCTAGGCCAACCTCTCTCACTAAAATACCCTTTTTGGGGGGTTATCCCTGGCAAATAAGAAAGTCAGTTGTGCTTGCTTACCAAGTGATGGGAGGTTCACCACCCCATTAAGGTAGTCTGCTCCACTGTTGCATGGGGTGTTCAATCATAAAACAAAGTCACCATTCCTGAAGCTTTAACAAATGGGCAGCTGACACCTTGTCCCAGGCTATCAAAGTTGTCTCTCTTTGCTCCTTGGTAGCTCTTCAGATACGGAAAGCCATTTATCACATATCCAAGTTGGCTCTAGGTCAGACAGTTCCAGATGACCTCTCTGGCCAAGAGTTTGACACTTGCAATGAGGAGATCAAAACTAAAAGCCATTTCTGCCTTTCATCATTGCCTTCCTCCTTTTCCCTACCTCCCTCAGTGGCACTGGGTCTAGCTACATGACTCCCTGCAATCACTAAAGTGGGCTTTTATTGCTAAAATTAGCATTTGTTATTGGGTCACTTTGAGTTAAACCCAAGCCTTTCCTGACTCTGAATTTGTTTTCTGTTCATAAAATAGGTATAGTAAGCCTGGGTGGTGTGGCTCAGTGGATTGAATGCTGGCCTGCAAACCAAAAGGTCGCAGGTTTGTTTCCCAATCAGGTCACATGCTTGGGTTGCGGGCCAGGTCCCAGCTGGGGGTATACTAAAGGCAACCACACAGTGATGTTTCTTTCTCTCCCTTCCCCTCTCTCTAAAATATATAAATAAAATCTTTTAAAAAATAGGTATAGTAATATCTCTTGAGCACAACCATGATAAGGATTAGAGGTAATTATGTTACCAGACGGGGGCCTGGCCCAGAGTGGGTCCGCCTAGGGCCAGCTGTAGTATATGGGTTCTTGACTTCATGTAGGAAATATTTCACAACATAAGTCTAGGTGACTAGGAGGATTCATTTATTAAAGCTGAGCACAGTGAAACAAAGGGCTTAGCAAAGAAGAAGCAACAGGAGAGCCTAGACTGGGTTGCCTGAGCGCACTGGGAAGTCAGGGGGTCTTTGAGACAGGTTGAGGGGATTAGCGTGGGGCAACCTGCCAGTGCCTATTGCCCTAGAGTATATGAGGTACATACCTGTGAAGAATAAAGTAGGAAAGGTAGGTGAGGGCGAAAGGGAATGGTACAGGCTGCTGTCCAGAGAGAGAGCACACACACTGACTCTTTTGTCTTGAGGCTTTTATCTCTCCCAGGCAGGCAGGAATATTAGGGGAGGTCTGGGGGGGGGGGGGGGGGGGTTGGTAGAATATTAATCAGTTCTCCAGGGTCCTGGTCTCCACTGATTGGTCAGGGACAGAGCAGGGGGTCTTTAGTCATTGCATTTGGTTCTGGCATTGCCCACCTGATTTTGCTGCTTTTCTAGGGCTGGAGCTAAAACACAACTGAGGCCTAGATGTTGTCTCCATGGATGAAAGGCCAGGGAGAAAAGGTTACCTTGAGGGTGAGGTCCTTCTTTTCCATTTTTGCTCCCTGCCAGGCCTTCCCCTGGTGACTGCACCTGGCTGTAATTGCTCAGCCATTGTGTTCAATCATCTGTATCAGTTTCCCTAGTCCACTGGCCAAGGAATTTTCCTGATTTCTTGCTATGCTGTCTCATTCCCCACTCAGAGACTTCCATCCCTAAAATCTTTAGGGGTGATGAAGGGAGGAGGGTTTCTTTCTCTTCAGTAACTGCTTCCTGCTGACAAGGATGTGGTCCCTGTCTGCATAGGGTATGGAAGTCTCTTTTCTGCCCAATCTAAGAAGACAAGGGGATAGGATCTGAGATTGGAACCAAAAGGCTATTAGCTGATTCTTCCAAAGTAGTGGTAGGCTGGAATCCCCAGATCATGAGATGGAATTGTTTCCAATTCAATCATCTAGTACTAACAAGAAGTCATTTCAGCCAGACTGAGTCTCATTTCAGGAACTTCAGGCAATGCAGATGGACTTCTAAAGTGTGACCTATACTGCGTAAACATGCAACTGGATAAATAAGGTCATATTGTACACTACATGAAAACAAAACAGCAAATCAAAAACCAGTTTCTGAGTCTGCAAGACTGTCAGTTGAGAAGACTTCCAAATGCAAACCTTTTGCTGGAATGAAATTAAGAACTGACAATCTGATACAGCTTCTTTTTCTGCAGTTTAAATAACTCCGATGATGTTTTCAGGTGCTCAGGTAAATTCTGTATGGCTGATCATACAGAAGCTCTGCATCAGGAGCTCTCAGTAATTCCAAGTCAAAAGATGAAAGAAAAAGTAAAACATTCGTTTGAAAGAAAACTAGAAAAATTCAGAATCAAATTCAGGATACAATTCAGTTTGTAGGTGAAAAATAAAACTTTAACTACAGTCCAATATTTACTGTTGGGCATTGTGATTTCCACTGAAACACAATTTCTTTTCCTAAAATAACCCTCAGTTTTCATCAGCCAGACTAAAGTCTAGTTTCTATTTGGCCTGGATATTTGCATAAGCGCACCAAGAATAGTAATTAATCACATAGGCTCTTTCAAATTTGCTTTGTTGGCATTTCACAAGGAACCTTCAGATTGAGCTTTAGTCAGCCTCTGGGGGCAAAGAAAGCAGCCACATAGTTGTTATCTGACTTTGCCTGCAAAACCTATAGGTTTGGGTGTATTCTTCAAGTTCTTGAGGTCCCCAAATGTCTTGCGGCTCCTTCCTTGCCATCTTTCAGGAAAGCAACATTCATTCCTTACCCGGAAAGGCTATCATGAACCATGTGACTAAGTAAGGTCAGGCCATTTCTCCAAGGGGTTTTATTGGTTTCAAAGTCTATCTTAATTTCTTAAGGCTTTCTGGTGACATCTGGAGTCCAGGCCTGACTCTTTCAGACGTGACATTCCAGACAAAGATTGGCTAATAAAAACACATTTGGAAACTGGTGCTGTTATAGACAGAACAGATTCTTATCAGATTTATGCAAACAAACATATTGCCATGAAAATAATACTCATTAAGAGCTGCCAAATTCTGGAGGGATTAGGTAGGGAGAAAAATATAAATTCTTCAATATTACTTATGAGGATATAATTTATTATATTGCTCTAGGGGGACTAAACAAGTTTCCTTATATCTGGAAAACAAAGATTTCAAGTTAGCAATATTTTGAACAAAGTCATAAGAATAATAATTATCTTCAGTTTATTCGATCCCATATAACCAATTTTGTTTGTCTTGATTATTTGCCAGTATTTCCATGAATC